TTTAAAAACAAAGAATCATAAGAAATCAAGAAATATTTTGTGCACAAAAAATAACTGTTTGTTATAGTTTTTGCATGAAATGGACTTGTATACAAATTTTGACAGTTCATTATATTTGTTATATTACATATAATGTAATAGAAAACATACTTAGTTTATCAAATATTCAAGCAATGAAATGGGTGGTTTGTTTTAAAATAAAATTTAAAAAAAATTAAAATAACAGTATCTGAAGAGAAATAACTTGTTACAAAAAATTTACTTAAGGCTTAAAAATACAGTAGACATATTTTGTCACAACATAAAGTTGAGATACTCAATTGTAATTTTTTCTTAAATAGTTTTCGTTATTGGGATTTTTTTTCTTTGATAATCCACATGTTTGAACCCTATTCGTAAAAAGTTAAATTCTGTTTTTTGGAGCATTTCAAAATGTCAGAGTTATTTTTTACTAAGCAGATACTTCGTCTTACGCTGTTACTTAGTTATTGCAAAGAACTAGGTTATTGGTAAGGTTTTCTAAGTGACAAGTCGGAGGGAAGACATTGTACCAAGAGAAACATGGTTTTTTTAGGATGGGGGATTAGACTTGGGGTTAACAACCCCATTTCATAAAAAAATGCACTGTTGAGAAATCACAAAATGAAGTTAAATGGGCTGTTTCCTGGAAATTGATATGGAACGGAAAAAAAAGGAAAAGAGATTGAGATATGGCAACAAGGAATGTGAGAACTATGAAAAAACCTGGATGGCAGATGACATATTGAAATATACTATAGAAGAAATTGATCTGCAGGAAATTATTCGGAATAGGGTAAACTAACCAGTGAAGGAGCACTTGAGCTTCGCTTGCCTTTTAAAAAATCATATTAATTTCAAAATTCGTAATTTTAGTCAAATGACAGTGTCAACATATTTGTTACTAATTGAAAATTATGTAAAAAAATTGTAGAGAANCAGAGTACTCCACAATGACCACTTTTAATATGCATTTTATAATCCTAATCACAAATGAACCGAAAAGAACATACCTATTAAAGCTTGTAAATTAATATTTAAGTGAGACAAAGTTGAGAAAGGTGATTGTTCAAAACATAAAGACGTGTTTGATTGCGGTATAAGTAAGAGAAGAGTTGAAAAACTATATAAAATATATTCTAGGTTTGATCTGCAATCAAACAAGTTTTTGTATTTTACATGTTCGTCTTCCTTATTTGTTATTCAACCGATTTTGATTCTCTTTTTATTAAATTTTGTTATTCAAAGTACACTGGCCAAATTATTAGACGCACTATAGGATTCTGCCGCATTTTTTCTTTCGTTACGGGTTCAATTCGTACCCTGACTCAATTTTCTTCTTTCTGCGTCGTATACTAAGTTCAGAAACCTTCAATCTTCGTTACATTTGACAGTTTGAAAATATATTAACATTCACGAGGGCCTTTACTTGAGCTTTCTTACGTGGTGAAAGATCGCTTTTTTTTACTCACGATGAAAATGTTTCAATTGATTATATAAACATAACACAGTGCATAAGGTCACAGAGACACGTCCGCAACTGAAACCGGTTTGCACTTGTTTTCGTTCGTGTATCAATTGGTTTATATTGTAACGCAATACATTAAAAATGAATTCAAATAGGAAGTATATAAAAAAACTCCTGAATGAAAACCCATTACGTGTATGACATGTTTATTTAAATATAAAAGTACTGCATTTAACCTCGTGCAAAACATGTATATATTAAAAAACAACAGCGCGTCTAATAATTTGGCAAGGGATCTTGAGAGTAAAGGTCTGATTAGAAAAACAAATACTATAAATTGATTTATTCTATACTATAAACAAATACCATGATTGATTAAGTAAATTAATTTCAAGAAAATTTAAAATGCAACTATATACAACAATAATAAGGCCAAAAATACCATATGGATCTAAAACTTGGGTTTTGGGAAATCACGAAGCAACTTTAAAACAATGCTTTGTACATGCTTTATTATCTTTACTTTCATGAAGACTCTTAAAATATGTATTAAATGCGGTCGTTACGGATTACCCTGTATCTAAAAATATATTGTAATAAACTATATGCTTTTCTAGAATATAAAAATTTATTAACAAGAAAACATTTTAAAAACAGAGAATCACAAGAAATCAAAAATTTTTTGTGCACAAAAAATAACTGCTTGTTATAGTTTTTGCATGAAATGAACTTGTAAACAAATTTTGACAGTTTCATTATATTTGTTATATTATTCATAATGTAAAGGAAAGCAGACTTAGTTTGTCAAATATTCAAGCAATGAAATGTTTGTTTTAAAATAAAATTTAAAAAAATGAAAATAGCAGTATCTGAAGAGAAATAACTCGCAACAAAAATGTTACTTAAGGCTTAAAAATAAAGTAAACCTGTTTTGTTACAACATAAAGTTGAGAAACTCAATTGTAATTTTTTCTTAAATAGTTTTCCTTATTGGGATTTTTTTTCTTTGATAATCCACATGTTTGAACCCTATTTGTAAAAAAGTAAAAGTCAGTTTTCTGGAGCATTTCAAAATGTCAGAGTTATTTTTTACTGAACAGATACTTCGTGTTATGCTGTTACTTAGTTACTGCAAAGAATTAGGTTATTGGTAAGGTTTTCTAAGTGACAAGTCGAAGCGAATACATTATACCAAGAGAAACATCCTGGTTTCTTAGGATGGGGATTGGACTTGGGGTTAACAACCCCATTTCATAAAAAATGCACTCTTGAGAAATCTCAAAATGGAGTTAAATGGGCTGTCTCCTGGAAATTGATATGGAACGGGAAAAAAGGAAAAGAGATTGAGATATGGCAACATGGAATGTGAGAACTAAGAAAAAACCTGGATGGCAGATGACATATTGAAATATAGTATAGAGATAATTAATCTGCAGGAAATTAGACGGAATAGGCAAGGTAGAACTGATAAGCCTGATTATACTTTGATTTATAGTCGTGCAGAAGAAAACCCCGCACAATTTGGGACATGATTTAGGATATCAAAGAAGATGAGAAAGAGTTTAAATCAAATATGCAGTTATAGATGAAAAAATGTGTAAGCTGCGATTAAAAGGAAAGTTTACAAACATTATTAATATATTTGCACTTGCACCAACTGAAGACAAAGACGAAAATGAGAAGAAAGATTTTTATGGAAAATAAGGAAATACACTTATTGAAGCACCAAAACACGATATGAAGATAATCATGCGTAATTTTAGCACCAAAACTAGAAAAGAATGCTATTTAAAGAAAGCAAAAATGGTAAGTAACATGCAAGGGCTGTTCGCTGCTAAAAATGAAATGAATATTAAAAGTATGATGTACCCACATGAAAATATACATTTTGGAACAAAGCGTATACTTGGTAGATATGAAACAAATCATCATATTTCGATAATGATTAGGTATTCATTATCAATAATCGATGTAAAAGCTTTCAGAGGGACTAATTGTGACTTAGGCTAAAGTTAAAATACAGGAACGAATAACAAATGCTAAGAATCAAATTAACATTTGTTAACCGTTTCACCAAAAAAAGACAATGGAATATTGAGAAAATCATAAGTAATCACCACATAAGGAAGAGTATCAGAATGAAACGCAAAGGAAATTTGAACAAGGCAGCGATGTAAAAGAAAAAATTGACATCAATGAATATTGGAACAGAGTTAAAACACAGAAACTGCTGAGAAGAAAGTAGGTGAAAGAATAAGAATAAAATAATTTTATGGAGAGTGCGCAGATGTCATTAAAGTAAAAAATGAAGCTAGAAAAGTTATGACACATAAAGAGACAAGTTGTAACTATTAGAAATTAAGGAGTTTCAAAATAAAATCTTTAGAGTAAAGGTCTAATTAGAAAAAAAAAATACTATAAATTCATTTATTCTATACTATAATACTATAAACAAATACCATAATTGAACAAATACTATGAATTGATTTATTCTATACTATAATACTATAAACAAGTACCATAATTGATTAAGTAAATTAATTTCAGGAATATTCAAAATGCAAATATATAAAGCAATAATAAGGCCAAAAATAGCATATGGCTCTGAAACTTGGGTTTTGGGAAATCACAAAACAACTTTAAAGCAAATTGCGTGTGTGGTTAAAGCAAAGAAAAGGATTTAATCCAACATAATATCTTCTTTCATACAAATAATAGGTATATGTAGAATATTAATTGTCTGTAATTATATGACAATGGTATTGAGAATGAAAGATCTAAAGTAACCAACACTAATAAAATTAACACATACAATTGTTTCTATGCTATTAGCGATCTTTTTTACAATATTTAATGTATAACTGAATTCATTTTGATAATGATATTTTCTATAGGCGCTAAACATTTATATGATAACAAATAGTTTTATTTATGCTGATTTTTTATTTATGTTAAGTTTTTAAAAAAATATGAAACAAAAATTTAGCATAATCACCACAGTTAAATTTTGTAATTAGCAGATACAATTATATCTGTGTTATTTAGTGTGAAAATGAATTGATTTTGGTAACGATGAAGAGTTGTAAAAGGCCCTAAAACATCAGTATGCTTCCAATTAATTTTAAATTCATATTAATAATGTTGGGAATATATGAACTTTTAATTAATACAAATATTTATCATGTTTTTGCTCTTTATTACTATCTTAAATACAGTTTATGATATAAATTTAGTAAACCAAAAAGATTTTTAATCATTATTTTTATCTCTAGAAGTTAAAATATTTAAAATAACATTTAAACATTAGCATAAACATATTTCATTTCATAAAATGATTGAATGAAACCTCATTTTATTTTCCGCACTATTATAGCAGAGTCTAAATTCATTAATATTTTTTATTCAAAAGAAGAAAGTTCAACCAGACAATTTAATACTTTAGTTCTTAAATTGTTTTTTTAAATTTGAAATGATAAACACGTTTTAAAAATTTAACAAGAATAGTATAACTTACTCATATTGATGGGTTAAGGAAGGAGCCTCACATTTTTTAACATCTACATCAGTTGCTTTTGCATCAAATACAAGACCCTGAACAAGATCTTTATCACCTAAATAGATATAGTAATTTACATTATTTTTCTTTGAATTCTTTTAAAAAATGCTATTTAAAAGTAAAAATAATCTCTTAAAATTCATAACAATTACTTGTTTAAATTGTAAATATCGTTTGCATTAAGTAGTCCAAGCGAAATTTGGCTTATAAATGTTATTATCCAGTTAATCACTGCTAAATATACAAGCCAAAACAAAACATATGCTGTCTGAGTTTTGTATGTATGTGTATCACATTATCTGATATATGCATTATCTGGGTTTTTACTTGAAGCTCCAAAGTTACATTTCAAATAAGAAAAATATGATTAAAAGAATAGTAACAAAAATGTCTCAAAAATGTTTTTATTTAATCTACGGTCCCTGTTCAAATTATTTGACTCACTATAAGATTCTATGTAAAATCTTAATTATCAGGTGATGCTATACAGCTTTATTGTTTTTGCGCGACTGAAACCGGTTTCACTTGTTTACGTTCGTGTATCAATTGGTTCAATTAGACGATCTATAATATAAATCGAAAGTATCGTCTAATTCAATAAATTCGACGATATATTATATAAACTTAAAATATTTATTATATCAGATATTATATTAGTGTATTATAATAATTAATACCAAATTATTAGACTTACTGTAGTTTTTTGATAATTACATGTTTTGCACTAATTTATATGCAATACTTTTATATTTAAACATGCATGTAATGGGTTTTTATGCAGGAGATTTTTTAAATACTTCCTACTAGTATTTATTTTAACGTATTGCATTACATTGTTAACCAATTGATACACGACAGTAAATAAGTGGAAACCGGTTTCAGCCTCGTTAAAACAATAAAGCTGAATAGTATCACCTGATAATTAAGATTTTACATATAATCTTATAGTGCGTCGAATAATTAAGCCAGGGACTGTAAGAAACGTTGAAACGATCACTTTTGGTCACCACTATTGAAATATTACTGACGCTTGAAACATTTTGGAAGTACTTCAAAAATGTTTGAAGAATAACATTCCAGATGTCTTTCATGGTTAACTAGTTTGATAACTACATTTTAAAATCAAGGTACATTATCTAATACGAGATCGCCGCAAAATGTTTACATCATTTATCTTTTCTACATGGTATTGCAAAAGTAATGGTCTGAACTGTAAAGAGTGATACAATTTATCAAAACAACTTTCACTTTACAATTCGGGGTCGGAAAGGAAAAAGCAAGCCGAAAGAAGGAGAAAAAAGAAAAATGTAATAAAGAAGAATGTAAAAAAGACGAATAATAAAGGTTACAGAGTCAAGGGCGCCGACAGAATAATATAAAAGGGGGTGCAACCCTCTAAGAAAAAATATAAATATTCCATTATTACATTCTGTTTTGTTATTACATATACTTTCATCTATTCATTTTATTTAAGACACATTTCTCCATTGTTAACAAGATATTTCTAAAAAATTACGAATTTCTTGTACTTGCAAATTTTGCCGCGAGAAACTCTATTGATGGCGCTGGAATAGCTATTGATCTTGAAACACAAATAACTACAAACAGTAGTTTCGTATACTAAAGTGTTTGTGCAGGCTTACCATTGGTATTTATTGTGTTGATATATATACTATGTATAAAAATCTGCTCTCACCGAATATAATCACTGAGGCTACAGCGTGGCACGAAATGTGGAGGAATAGAGAAAATTCTTATGAATCCCTCGATTTAGTTATTGAGGCCACACCGTTTTATGCAGCTGTAGCGGAGGCAATCAAAATTGGACTGACTCTTCCAGCTACTATGTGCACTATTGAACGCACTTTTAGTACAATGCGACCTCATCAAAACATGGAATCGGTCTACAATGTCTCATGAGAGATTAAGTAGTTTTTGCATGCTCAGTGTGCATAAGAAAAGTATCAAAGAGGACTCAGAATTCATTGAAAAAGTTATAAACAGATATGGACAGCAAACAAGACGATTACAATTCTCATTTGATTAAACAATTTTTTAATTATTATGTATCAATAATTACTTAATTATAATTAATATTTTCGAATAAAAATATTTTTAATAAGAAATTTTTATAGCAAAATTGTTTTTCTGTAACTCTTTAATTGTTTTTAAAAAAGCCAGGAGAAATTGTTTTTAAAAACCCCCTACCGACGCCCTTGTACAGATTTGTTACTATTGAAAACTTTAAAACAAATTCTCAAATGAGAGACCACTTTCAGGTTTAACATCGAATGTTTCCTTAACGTCTGAAGAAGTGGCACTAGTTTGAAAATCACTTTTTACATAGATTTTAAAACTGTATATTAAAGGCAGTTTTTACGATACACCCTACAGAAGAAACGTTTTATCTTAGCTAATTACTTTCAATTAAAAATATATATATATAAATAAGGAAAAGCTTGTTTCGATTCATTTGTATTGAAATAATTTAATTTTGATTATATTTCATTGTTATTAGTCATAAAACTTACAGAGAAGAACTTCATATATAGGAGGTCTTGTAGATGGAGATCTCCATTTAAATTTTTGAGAACCCATAGCTTCTTGGAGAAAATTTCGTATTATGTCCTCAGGGCTTATATAGGCATCGCCTTCTTTTTTAGCTGTTTCACAATACACCCTGCAATAATTTTGGTATTCAGTACATAGCATAACTAAAAATATGTAAAGTCTACCACATTTAATTAAACAGATTCATTGGTTGAACCTAAGAGCAGAATTTCTCAATTTTAAATTAAAAGTTAGAAACCAATAACAAGCAGAAACGAAATTCTAAAGATATGTATGTTAGTAAAAGTATTATAATCAAGCTAAAGCATTATAAGGATTTTGTAAACAAAGATTTTGAACACATTGCAACAGGTGACCTTAACTTAATCAGAAATGAATATCTAAGATTTATTTCTGGAATTGGGACTAAGTTTAGACCAAGAAAGAAATATAATTTAATTTATATTCTTGCTTCTATTAGTTATTGCAAAATGCTCCAGAAAATTTAATTGGACTTAAGAGGGATTTATTGAATGGAAATTACGCGTTTTATTTAATTTTAAGTTAAATTTTTTGAACAATAATATAAAATAAAAGGGCTTTTATTTGAATTCCAATATTATTAAATCTACCATGGAAGTGAAATATTATGCTATTATTTGTGTTGTTGAAAAAGCATCTAATAATTTTTGCTTTATTTGAAAACTTTTTTTTAGACATTTAATGATTAAAGAGTATGATAACAATAGTACTTTTGTCAAAATTAATAGTTCTAAAACAGAAATTGACAGTCGAATTTTAGCTTTTTGCAAGAAAAAATTGGTTTAAAACTCAATACCATTAATTATCCTTATTTATTTTCAACAATTAAATTCCACAAAAAACAAACCGGTTGAATTTAGATTTGTTGCTTGCAGTACTGGATGTTATAAGTCTGCTTTTGGATTTTTTTTAAATATATAAACATCTTTTAAAAGAATTATATCTAATGATAAACATTTGGTTATACTAAATAGCTACCAAGACGTTATTATTTTTGACTTTTTTGTGAATCAATATTTGAATTTTTTTGATTGGTTTTTCTTATTTAGTGTATCCATTATGGGACCTCGGGGCACAGTCAGTTTTTGGTTTAACCACTGACTACAGAAAGGCTCCTAGTGTTAAAAGACAGTGTGTCCCCTGATGAAGTGCTGTTTTTGCTAACATAAATGCTTTTAGAATTTCGTTTTTGCTTGTACTTATTTTATAGAGCCTCTGAAGATATGAAAGGCTGAGTCAAAAATGCTATACCTTTCCAAAAAAAAAGTAGAAAAATGAAAGCGTCTCTTTATTAGATTGGGAGAAGGAGCACTTCAATACTTTTTATAATTTATAGATTTTCCATAGATTAGAGAGCAATAAAATTACGTGGTTAGAAGTTTTGTAGAGGTTATTCAATGCTGAAGATGTGTCAGTTTTTAAATTTTTTTTAAAATTTACTTTGATAATTGGTGCTCAGCCTGATAAAAATCTAATTTTTGATTTTTTGAAAAAAATTTTAATGCAAAATACACAAAATTAAATTTATTTATGAAAAATGTAACAGACAAAATTATAATACTAAACTACATTAAGAAATTGCTGGTTTTAGGTTTGTATCGCCATATATATATATATATACACTGGTTATCATAAATTAAGGAAAATTCACAAAAATCGCGATAACTCAAGAAATTACACATGGAATTTTATGAAACTTACCCACAATATACAACACATAGTAAGGTATTAAACAACATAAAAAGAAATTATCAGACATTAATAGTAGTATAGAAATTAGCACATGTATAAAATAAACAAATTGGAAGTATCGGTTTGCAATAGAAAAAGTACCTTTAATATGGAATATGATTGCCTCTAGAAGCAATACAGCACAAACAGCGATGTGTGATGCTTTCAATTNCGCAATCACAGTAAAATTTGTGTGCTTTCTCTCAAACTTGGACTTTTATGCTCCAGGCAGATGACGTAAGCCGAGTGCAGCGCCACTAATTTGCATATTGCAATTTTACTCAGCTACTCTTAGTGGACAACATATGCAAATTTTGCACGGTTTGGCTTACTTTTGAAAGAGTTATCGCTATTTTTGTGATTTTTCCTTAATTTATGATAACCAGTGTATATAAATATATATATATATATATATAATCAAATCAATAAAAATTTAAAACGTTGCGTGTTATAATTTAAAGATTCTAAATAGATGATGTTTTTGCATTTTAAATGTTTCAAAGGATAGCGCAGAGTAGAGTTAGTATTGAACGTTAGTTTACATGTAAAAATTAAATAAGGATAATTAAAATCATATTTAAAAATTCTACGTCTTCAGCCCTATGTCAGTTTAGTTTATCGGAAAGACTCTAAATTGATGTTTTTCATAATTTCTCTAGGGTTAATTAATATTGTGCCCTGTAAGTTTACCTTTTCTCCTATAAGAATGCCGTTATTATACTCATTTTATAATTATTTAAAACAGTAATACCAAATTTAATGCGTGTTTAAATTGCCTTTCATTTAATTAAGTACAAAATTTAACTATAAGCTAATGATGCTTTTTTATGAAAAAAAACTTACCAATCAGGGTGTATTCTCCATCTGTTTCCTTTAAAATATTGTTTTACTGAAATTGAAACAAATATGTTATACTTTTTAGACATAATCTCAAATAAATTTTCTTACAATGGCAAATGAATGAGATGCAGATGATTTTAAATTACTAAATCCGCTTACTGTCTTCTGTTCTCATTTTCACTTCTATTTCACCTTTGACTCTATAACGTCCATAAGGTTCAGGTAAGGCGATGACTAACCTAAAATAGAATATAAGGTCAATTATCTGTCATACATAATAAAGTGCCGTAAAAAATGAATTACCCATTAAAGCCTTTTTTATGCAATTAAGAGGCTATCCATATTTAAGTGCTGGTACTAGTTACATATTAATAAATAACTTTAATCCTACTTTCCAAGTAGAATTAGTCCGATTTGTCTAATCCTACAGTTTGACGTAAAATATTATCAGTGGTGGTCGGATCATGGGTTAGAATCCCGTTCATTAAAAGGAATTCGACATTATCAGGAAGTGTATGATGGAATTGCTTGTCTTTCGATTGTTATCAATTTATAAAGTGAGTGTAAGCAACCGTCTATGTGCCTTAGATCATATAACTTTTTATATTACAATATGAAATGTCGGGAATAACACTTTTTTTCAAGTACTTTTTACATAACCTCCAGCTTTGGCCATGATGGCTCACGGGATAGAGTGTTCGCCTTCCAATGAGGTGATCCAAGTTGGGTTCCCAGCGGTGGCTAGTTGATACAAATTCTGTCCTTGCTCAGACTACGGTTCTGACATAAATTAACCTTCCTCAGTGGAAGACAGTTCATGGGTTAAAATCCCTTTTTGCAGTCGGGCTAACCATTGGAGGTTTTCGCGGCTTTTCTCTTCATATAACGCAAATGCCATCAAAAAATCCTCCAGGAAGGCTGATTTGTCCCAAGGATACAGGAGTTCCCTTACTTCTGGGTGGGGTTCAAAATTATAAGGCTACGGAGTTGAACATCGATAGTTGCATGCTTAGAATTGGGTTCAACGCCGGTTATTAAATAATACATAAAAATCCTACAGTTTGTGATTTGTGTTTTCAAATCACAATAATCGTCAAAACTAGTGAAATACAGCTCATGTATTGCGGAATCGACAAAAATGAGAGTTTCATTTCTGAGAGATAACTATTTCTCATCATGATTCCGCATTCAAGGTATGTTCATATATTATTAACAAATAGGCTCAAAAGTATTCAGTAAAAAAGGGGTAAAATATAAATATTAATAAAATATACTTACGCAAAGGGAGTATTGTTCAAAGGTCCGTAGTAGTAAGAGTTATTTCTAGTCACAACCCTTCTCTGGAAAAGTTACATAATTATTAGTTCATTATCACTATTAATACACAGTTAAAAATGTCCATAAAAAATTAGAGATAAAATAAAGAATCTATGTTCAAGTACGAAAACTTTCGTTCAAGCACATTAAAAAAATTTTCTAGGCAGCAGGGTTAAGGAAAATATCGATTTTCCCCAGAGAATTTATCTAAAGAGACTTTCTTTTAGTTATTCTAATGTATTGTTATTCATTTCCCAGGTACACTGTAAAAAATTTTAGTGAAAATTTTAAGTAAAACACAAGAATCCTATACAAATTACATAAGCTCTCTTTTGAATACATATATTTTCAAATAAAACTAATGTTTTATCGATTTTTAATTTTTAAGACCTAAAATGGCTAATTTTACAATTTTCAAAAATATGTTTTGGAGTTAATAAGATAATATATCAATTCTATATAAATTCCAAGTTAATTAATTTTGCGTTTATTAAATTATTTGAAAAAGGTAAAGTAAATATTTTCTCTTACCATTCCATCAAGATGGAGCTTTACTGGTAATGTTTTCCAACCAATACGTCCATTTATTGTTAGATTTTTGATCTGAAATAAAAAAAAACGTTTTTTGTTAGCTTGTGAAAAATTTTACGTTTAATAAATGTGTCTTAAAAAATTGCAGCAAACTCAAAAAACTGAAAATGCGGTATGATATTTCATTTATTTATTCAGCATAAATATGATGATAACTAATATATAATTTATTCAAAATTAATAAATATTGGTAAAGTCGCAATGAAAATATTAATAGAAATAGTTCTAAGTCGTATAGGTAACTTACGCAATTTTTGCCAAATTAATTATTTATTAAATATATGCAACTATTACTTGGTAAAAAATTCCGTATCAAAATTGCGGTAAAAAGTTCCGGCACTCAGATTGTCGGTATTTTTTACCGTAAAATCCACTTTTACAGGAGCGTGTTACGGAACAAAAGATCTGATGTACCGTAATTTTTTTAGTAATAATTTCCGTAAAATCACTGAATCACTCAAAGTAAACAAATATTACTATAAAAATTACGGCATAATATTTTACGGTAAATGAATTTTATGGATGATGGACATAAAATGCCGGTACTGTATTCCTTAATTTGATCCGAAATTTTTTCACAGTGCTCATGTTGGATAATTACAGCTTTTGTTTTAGAATAGCGAGGACCAACCAGTTAAAGATCAAACATGAATTTTCCATGCATATAAACATGAAAAATAAAAAGTTTGAAACCTTGTGTTGCTTGGTGTCGGTCGCAAATTTCAGAGATTGTTAAACAGAATAGTTGTTCTGTATTTTATCGGAAGTTAATGCAAATTCCTTCAATTCAAGCGGGATAAAGTTACCAAACAAAAAAAATTTCGAAATTTTCAAAAATTATTACATGCACATCGTTTAATAACTATTCAGTGGAAATTGAAATTAACTCTGACAAATTGATGAAGCTCTTTTTTTTTAAAAGAATAATTATACGTTCGATCATTGTCTGCCTTCAAGTAAAATACTTATGTCTTTTTTTAGCAACTATTAAAGACAGTTGCCATTAAAATCATTGATATTCTTTACATCGGAGAAAAAGACTTTTATAGCAGCATACCAAGATCTCAGTGTAAGGTTTTAACATTTGCTGTAAGGTTACCTGCTATTTGGGATATATTTTTTGTTGCTCTATCTAGCTTACATTAACGACTCTAAAAAATATTTTACTAATTCTCAGTTCGATTCAAGTGTGGAAAATTACAACGCAATTCAAGAAGTACTTTTCTTTATATTCAAGTTTGAATCTTTTGACGATAATGGAAAGAGGCAAAGTTATGCTGAAATGCCCTGTCAAATGTATGCATGTTTAAAATAATCCGATGTTACAATATTAAGAAGTATTTAGCTGAATTTTTCATGTCTTACAGTAACTTTTAGATATTTATTCGTACAATAACTTAGTGCAACTTATAGCTAAACCTCTCCTATATTTTGTTTAATGAGATTTTATTACAATGCTAATTCTGGAAGAATAATGAGATTATTTTTCTGTAAATGTAACAGTTATTAAAAGCAGCAAAAATATAGTTTTGACTTACCATTAATAATGTATCATCGAAATCCTGAAATAGATTGAAAAAGAAATGTATAAAATTCAATCTAGATAATTTAGATAGATTAGATCTGGATAACCAATTTCAATAAATTTTATGACGTAAAAAGACATGAGAAATTTTTATTTATTTATTAGGATATTTATATGCTTCTTTTACAAAGGAACTTCAAGGAATTTTTAGTACTTACCCGAGGACCTAATTTATCATCATCTACTATTTCAACTTCAGCCATATCAACCATGTTATATTCAGGTTTCAGCATATCTTGAAACTAAAGAGAAATATTTAAAATAATTTCTGATTAAAATATGAGTAATAAATAAGCTTTTGTATATTTTATTTAAGTTTAAATTTAAGAAGAACTATTTAGATATTTTAATTAAATACACTTTTGAATTAAACAATGGAATAGCGTAATTAAGAATAAAGAGGCTCATTTGTTTAATAATGAAGTTGCAATAAATTTGAACGTTACTAAGGTTCAGCACGCTTAAAAATATCTAACAGTTCAGGAAAAAATGACAAATAATGCTATATTTTCTGTTTAAAAACTATTTGAAATTAATAAAAATCAGATTTTATTTTTTGAAAAATTATTATTTCTTACTTACCAATGGTCTGAGATCAGGATGGTATAAAACAAAACCATTGTTTGTAACAACGAAGGAATAACCATTTACACCAAGCTATTGAAGGAAAAATAAATATTAAAAATCTAAATTATGAGAAAAATGAAAATTAAGTTGCATAACAATAATGCTTCATAAGTGAAAAATGCTGACATTTAACAAAAAGAGTGAATGCAATTTTCAAATAAGGGAAGCATGATTGATTAATTTATTGTATTCTTAAAAGAAAATACTCAGATTATGACTGACCATAAATTAAAGCCACCTAGGTTTTAATATTATAATATTATTTTAACTATGGGGACGTCCTTTATTCAAAAGGGATTTAAAGAGCTTTCCATTTATTGTGTGATTTTAAAGGAAATAACAGTTTAAATGATTTCTTTGAAACTTTTTCTAAATCAAAGGACTAAATTATGGTTGCTGTCTTGGAATGAACGGTTCTGTGCAGCCGTCCAGATGGACATTAAAATTACATCGCGTCTATGTAATAGCAAACTGGAATTATTGAGTAGGTCATTATAAAGGTAGGATCGCTTTGGTGGTTGTAATAAAGATCGTAGATTGTATTACTTTAAAAATAAAGATTGCTTATCCCCGCTTTAAAAAATGCAAAATCGGAAAATGGATATTTAAATAGGGGTCTTTCATTTCTCTAACTGATATATTTTTTTTTACCTCTCTATTCAAAAATAAATTCTAATACAGTGGAACTGATCTTTTAGGAAAATGGATGCATAATGGATAAAATCCAAAGCGAAATTGTCAAAGATCATTTCATTTCTGATATCCATTATTTCTAGCAGGGGATCTGAAAAATATGCATCAAAAAATAAACATAGAATCAAAAATCTAAAATTACGAATGCTTGACTTTTGACTTGACTTTTGACTTGAAACTTGACTTTTCAACCCCTGAGTTGGGGCAGCAGAAACTTCAAAATCTTAAATATATATATCCCCCCTTTTTTGCAATCTCAAAATAATCAACAAAAAAAAAGTACCCCGATTTATATGCTTTTGTATTTTGGTTCCATGATGGCACTGTAATAGCAAAATAGAAAGGGGGTGCCATATTGTTTAAAATAGAAATATTTCAAAAAATACATGTCCAATCGGGAAAAAAGTATTTCGTGTTTTAAAAAGGCTATCTAATGACCCAAATTCGACAACAAATCCTGGAGCAGATATTAAGGTTGAATGCTCAGTTCAAACCAGGCATTTTGATCGACCAGATCGGAAAGTGGTTAGTCCCCAAGTATGTTTGGTAGTCGTTTTATCAACTCACTAAAGAGATGAAATGCTGAGTCAAACTTGCCGAGTTCCAAGATAGAACCTCGGACCTATGAGACGGGAGAGCGAAGTCTAAATTTAAGAGTAATGTCATGCAAGAAATAACTTTATATGATTATTTATACTTTTAAATAAATGATCACATTTTTTTCAATAGTGATCGAATAATTTATTCCCTTTCTTCAATAATTATCGAAACTATATTGAATTATAATGTATAAAAACTCTTGCACTATTTTTATTTTTATATATGTTTATATGTATTTTTTGCAAGGCAAAATTCAAATTTGAAATTAATTGGTTAAATGGTTCTATAAAAACTACAATTCAAAAACTTTTTTTTCCAATACAAAAAAAAATTCAATTGTGGCTTATTATTTTTCCACAACTCTATGTCTGATTTACTTCAAAATTTGTAATGCATTGTCTAAAAATTTAAATGCAAAACTATTCATACATTATAATTTAAAACTCGTTGAATCATTATAATAATATTATAATTTAAAATTATATAATATTAAATAAAAAATTATAATTTTTTTTCTTTGATTAATGGAGGGATAATAGAACGAATGATTTACATTCGAATTTAATAAATTTACTACGAATTTAATAATTTTGCGCGAAATAACTTTTGATTTGCATATTTAATTTCATGGAACTCTTTTGATTAATTTCCTTTTTTGAATTTCTTTGATTGACTTAAAAAAATGAAAATAATGTTTTTTATAAATATTATATTTAACTAATATTGTAAATGTTTACATAAATATTATACTATATATAATATATAAAATATATTACAAAATATACTATAAAATTTTTGGAAGTATTAAAATCAAACTTACTTTATGAGGTGGAGTTAGTTTAATTATTTCTCTAATTGGAACATCTGTCCCAGCTACTCCTAAAATATTAGCTACTCGCATCTGTGAAAAGAGTATTCACTATTTCAATACTAATTCCATATAGAACTAAGTGTCAACAAGTAAACCATTTCATTACTAGTAAACAATGCAAACAGGTATGAGCATGTAATAAAGATGTTCAGGATTAAACATAAGCAATAGTTTTGAGCAAGATAGTGTTCTCTAGCGATGTTGTAAATAATGATACACTACTTTATTGTTCAGTTTCTTCATACATATCAAGTTAATTTGTTTCTATAACAATATTCAACTATTTTCTTTTATTTTTTATACTAAACTGTCAACTGAATGTAAAATCATGTAATAATTGAAAGAGAATTTGATTCTCTACATTTTCGTCATATTTAATGATGAAAAAGTAACTTTAACATTGAATGTAAGAAAAAACGCAGTTAAAATGTTATAAAACATAGCTTAGCATAGTAGCTAAACTCAGGAAGTATGAAAAGTGTTAATTTTTCTTAAAATGTGAAAAAGATTTTATCCATAAAACTTTTAATTGTTTTTATTAAATGGATAAAATATAAATAAATTTGTTAGGAAATTTATCACATTAGGATTAAATAAGTTTTTCTAATAAAAAGGATAACTCTTCAAATCAACTTTAAAATAAGTTTGAAGTTATATAAAAAACCAACTTTACTATTATGAAATATTTACATATATTACATCAGAAATTATTATATATAAATTAAGTCAACTGAAAAAGATAACCGATGTAAAAAAATTAAAACTGTAAAAAAATCAAATAAATGCTTATAAAACAAAAAGTAAATCAAATATCATAGTGTAAAAATGAAGCAAACCGCCTTCTTTTTGATGCTTACTCATAATTGTAACTCAAAATTAAATGAAAATCGTATAAGCTATACCTCTTTTGTTCTTTCAATCCAGATATTTTTGCTGCTTCTAATTCTTTCAGTTACATTCTGAAATTAATTTTAGAATTTAATTTATTGCATGTGAAAGTGAATAAAATGTCTAGCAAACAGTGCAATAAAAATTTTATAACTTACTGAAAAATTTCGTCTGTCAAACACTGGAGTAGCCACTGTCACCAGAAGCTGTACAGCCTATAGAAAAGTGATAAAAATTGAATTAATTTTTGACATTTACTGATAGTTATTTGTTTAAAATTTATTATGTAACTCAGTATTTCTTAAGCAGTAGTTTTTGATTCGTCACTTAAAATAGACAAGAGTTGGATAAAATAATATGAACAAACCTAGAAAACTGTTTTTCTTTTAGTTAGAGATATCTTGGAGCTGTTAGTTTACTCTAACATCACGATTTGACATCACGACTTAAATTATTTAAGAAATTGTGTTTAGCAAAACGATTAAAGGAGGGTTAAAGTTTTTCCCTTTTCATAATATCAGCAATTTGAATTTTTTTTTTTAAATTTGCGATATTAATGAAAAAAATAACTTTAAATTTTAAGTGTTTTTAAAGAAAGAAGCATTTAAATTCTTCCACTCATTTTGGACGATACAAACTTTCTGCAAAATTAATATTATTTCCAAAAGCTTTGATTATGATTTAAAAAAAAAATCTTATAGTTAAGCTGTGTAAAATTTTTTAAAGCATTTTTGCAAGAAGGGCAATTTCCGTTGAATATGCATAGCATTGTCCATAGCATTTTGTATAAACTAGGTTACTGATGCAGCTGCAAACTTTATTTTATCTATAAACTTTCTTTCAAACATGAAGACTCATTTTTAAAATATTTTCTTTTTGTTCTACCAACACAATTGTCAGTTGTCGGGCACGGCTGCCTTAGGCAGATAATTCCATCTCAATCTAACTGACGTCAGTACTCAATTATTACAATTTTAACAAATCAAAAAAATGGTTAAGAAGCACTGGTTTAGTCAATATGTATTTACTACATGAAATATTTTATTCAAAATCTATATTTCTTGAAATAATTGTAGAACGCAAAGAATACATATAATTTAATTTCCACATACATACCTTTGGTATTTATTGTTCCCTCTTTTTTAAAAAATTTAAGTTTAATCATTCAGTGCTTAGTTTCTTCATACTTAATGTTCTGAATTCCAGTCTAAACACTGCTTAAAAGCTCATTTTGTGGAGGATTTTTTTTTATTCGGAGCATAGCTCAAAATCCGTATTTAAGACAAATGACATCAGCTCAAAATGGCTCATGGCTCAAAATGACAAATGGCTCGAAATGTTTATTTAAGTACATGGACATGGCTCAAAATGTGTACATGAGAAAATGGACATGGCTTAAACTACGTATTTGAGAAAATGGACATATCATTTTCAAACTTTCCTTATGAGAATTGTTTTTTTCCAACGAACTATCTAATGAGTCCATATAAGGAAACTAGACTTTCCTGTAAACTGGTACCATATAAACTGAAAAATTATTAAATGAATCTTTTCATTAACCGGAATTATGTTTTTTTAACCAGAAATGTCATTACCATACGGTAATTTTACCAGAATTTCTTATGCAATGTCAAAAATAGCCATTATTTTTTAGTGCTTAAATCATTCGTGATTTAATTCGGAAAGTCTTTTTGGTATAAATGAAAAATGTAATAATTCATCAATAAATAGATATTCAATAAATTTGACTCTAATAACTTCATTTTTGATAATAATTTAATAGCTTTACTGATATTTTTGGTTCAACACTTATTTTAAGAAATTTAGTGCATTTGAGTTTGGTGTACAGTTAAAAAAATTAATTTTTTATGAACAAAGGGAATTTTTTCAAGTTGTAGTTTTTATCTTCTGCTTAAAACCCTGTTTTGTAGAAATAATTTTTGATTTTTTATACATCAATACGCGAAAAATGCCCATTTAGAATACCCATACCCATGATCACAAAATTTATCTGGTATTAGTGAGATATTAGAGAGCAGTATTTTTTTCAAAATTTGTGTTTAAAAATATGGAAAAAGAATAAACAAATATTTTAAAGCTTTTGAAAACTGTAAATTTTACATTTATAAAACAAATCCCAGACTAAAGAGGACTAAAAGTGCTCTACATTTCGGATTTTTAATTTTTGTTAAATAAATGAGAAAATATCGAATCAAGATATAAAAATGTGAAGATTTGTTGAAAAGACAAATAAAAGTTTAAAAATTTAAGTTATTTGCTTAAACACATATGCAGTTCAGTCAAAAAAATTTTCGAACTTTGCCTCCACAATAAAAAAACACATGTCTTATCTGTTATTGTCTGCTTAATTATATGTATTAGCAAAAATAGCAGATAAATGCACTAAATTGAAATTATAATGCATGTGTATACAGTATATAATTAATTTTTTTCCGTATTTTCCACCAACCATGATCAATCAATTCTATTATGTTCTTTTTTCATATTTCATCAGAGAGATTTAGCCCATTCACATAGCATGTTCATGTTCTGCACAAGCTCTATGCTAAGAATCGAAATAGTTTGGAACGAACTGAATTTGTAACGTTTGCACTTTTGCATGCAAAAGTGCAAAATCTCTCTGATGAAATATTGCACATGATTTAATTGTTTGATCATGATTAAATTGAAAATATAGAAAATTCATATACGCATGAATTGAAATATAACGTGTTAAAATCTTAAAATCTGTATTTAGTGCATTTATCTGCTATTTACGGAGATTCTTCTTATGTAAATAGCTCTTAAAATATAATCTAAATAGTTCTCAAAAATAAAAGTTTGCAAATTTTCGCCCGACCTTGACTGTTTCAAAATAATTATTTGGGAATACAATATAAAAAACTATAAATTCCTTTACTATAATAAATATCGCTTTTGAGATGACGAAAAACATTTAAGCAAAAGTACTGCAAAGAAGCAGCCAAGCCATTCTCTAAGCAATAATTTTTAAAACAATTAACCCTAAAAATGGGACTTAAGGTTCATGAAGAATATTATCTATACATTATTTCTGTAAACTTACCCTGCTAGCCGCAGATGAATTCTGTAGAGACTGGAAAGCCAAAGAAATGTAGTTACTTTAAAATGGCTTACAAAAACGAAATTTTTAAAAGAGTGCTAAAAAAGTTTCAATTTGGAGAACAAATGTGATAAAAAGTGCAAAAATAGGATGCTTCTGGAAGGCCTGTGCTCACATTGTACAAAAAGCAAAAACAGTTGAATATTTAAAATATTTAATTTTTAGAAACACAAAACATTTTTAAGAAAACGTGGAAATGTGACACTTTATATCTACATTTAATTCTTTTTTTTTGCAATCAATAATTATTAAGATTTTAAAAAATATTAATAACAGTTGGTACTTTTTTCTAAGTTACAAAAACTACTTTATGATGATTAAAGACATTTATAATTGAGTGTTTTTATTTTTAGTTTAATACTGCATTTTATTTCAGATCTTTAAAAAATGAACTTTCCGCAACCAAGAGATGTATTTAGAGCACTTTTTATGGGGAGCTATATATGAAATAATCAAAATATTAATTAAAGATTCTAATAAAATCTTAAACATTCAGAAATGTGGGTTTATTAGAAGAAACAGGAACAATATAATATTATAATATAGCACTTATCGATTATGAAATATTATAATACGAATGCATAGAAAATATTTTAAAACATGCATATAGCATCAGAGCATCATGTTTTAGTACTAGAAAATAACACAGCCAATGGTATAAAAGATTGTTCTGATTCATGTAATAAGTCATAGCCAGACGCCTGTTCATGCAGTAAAAAAATATTTTTCATGCTACAAATGTTAAAAAATTCCAAAAAAATTTTGGCATGCGTAGTGAAAAAAGTCCAAGAAAATAAGCATAACGGATTTCAGGATAATTCAGCTATCTCATGGTAATGATTCAATTTATCGAGCACAATTATTTTTAAAACAAATAGCAAAAATAATAAATTATTTATAAACAAATCAAGTAAACCTGATGAAAATTTCGATACCGAATGTTTCAGTGAGTTAATCTGGGTGACCATAACCAGCCTCCCAGACTATGTGATTTATCGTTGTTTTTTTTAGTCTTAGATAACAAGCCCTTAACCACCCACACCTTGAAGAAAAAATTAAGTGCGTCAGTATAGTTCAGTAACAATTATGGCCATTGAAAATTTTAACAAAAAAAAGCTCACGTGCCAGCGACACCACCTTCTTACCCGATGTATTACTCTATAAATAAAGAACCAAACGCTTCATCCATCTCGTATACCTAATGAGTTAAAATTGAAAATGTTTAACAAAACACTTGCGTTGTCTTTAAAAACATTTTGAGTCCTGTTTATTTTATTAATTTGCAAAATGTTATAGTAATTTGCAAAATCCATCCATTTTTTTCACGCTTTATACACTAAATTAAACTATTGAGTAAGTTTAATGCTATGAGAATATCAGTTGTAAAAATGAGAATACCAGCTGTCAAACATTTAATTTTTTTTAAACCTCTATTGAGTATGATCAGCCTACTATGACCAGACTTTATTGCAAATATAGCTTTCGAATGTTCAAGCATTCAACTTATCTTTTAACTTGGGGAAAAATTTTCAAGAATTTTTTTTTCTCAGCTATATATTATATTATTTATATATATTTTTATTTTCTCAGCTCTATTATATTATTTCTTGGAAATAAATAAATAAGTAATAATAAAAAAACTGTATTTTGATCAATAGACTTCGATGACACTGGACTTTCCTTGTATGGGGGAGGTGGTGTCAAGCTCCATTTATTTATATTATTAGTTTAAACGGAGGATCAATTTGTAGTGGTGGCTTGGAGCCCATCGCAGCTTGGAAATAAAAAAGTGATCGGTCAAACGACATTGCTTGTTGTCTTACAGTTGTTAAGTCTTAGCCTTCGTAACCTCTTGGACGTCAAGCGACTGTTGAGGAAGTGTTTCACTTGTAAGAAAATTGCTCATCTATATTAATTATTACAACTAGAATTATAACAATTTATCAACAGTGCAATATAAGTTTATTTTTGTAAATTGAAATTTTTTATAAAATAATTACCTTTGAATCGAAAAAGTTTGCTTGATTTAATGAAATTTACTGTAGTGATTTATTTAGTTTCCTCACATTATCATATTTTTATAAAACTGAAAAGATGAATTGAAAAGATTCCTCAAAAATTTTAAATAAAATGACAACAAACTGCATTTTAAACAAATTTCGCGGCACTATTGGAAATTCTTTTAGAACAATCAACCTAAATAAGCATTGAAGAAATTTTCGTTGTGCATTAACTATATTTCCTAAATTAAAAAAAATATGAGTTAAATTGATTGTAAAAAAAATATTTACTCATCCTGAAATCCGTTAAGACATATTTCAAGAGAAAATAAATAATGTGATTTACCTTCTTTTTTAATGGACGACGAGGTGCTTCTGGTTCTGTTGCATATTCAATATTAGGAGATGTTCCTAACATATAGTGATCAGATGAGATGTTTCCTTCTGGATAATCTTGCATTACAGTTTCTACGTCTTTTTGCCTTTTTTCACGCTTTTTTGTTTTAAGTTTAAGAATTTCATCCCTTTCTCTTTCTTGCCACAACCAGTCAGTTAGTTTAACATCCTGTAAAAGTATGACACAGCGTCAAAAATATTTTAGGACTGGAGCTAAAATATGAAATAAGAACAACACATGATAATAAATTTTTTAGAAACAAATTCCTCAATGTTTTAATAGTTTTATTACAGAGATGTAAAAATAATATTAATTCCTATTTCGAAATTATGTTTAATGTAGAATATGGATACTTTGAATATACTTCGATGCATGAAATATTCTTGGCTTTCGACGAAACCGTTTCATGGGAAATTACTCCGAACAAACATTTCTTCATGATGATGAAATTACTATTTTTTTTAAGATAGGAATTTCGTCAAAATTATTAGGCTTAATGTAACTCATCGATTACACAATTCATTAAGAAACACAGCATAAACTAAAAGGGCACATGATTGAAGAAGAATGACTGACTGCTGGTCAGTCATCGTCATGCAACAAATCTGGTAATTTTGTTCAACAGTTACGAGTACTAACCTGTAGACCATCTTGTCATACAGTATAAAAGGCTTTAAAATTTAAAAAAAAAATACTCAAGAACTTACAGCATGCACACGAGTCTAGAAGCAGTTTAATCATATAGTTTATGATTCGTCAAAAAACACGTGATTTCGTACTGTAGCTCAAATAGAGTTTTAGTTCTGAATGTATTAGAAATATGCAGAAGAATTTAAAATATGTAGAGTACAAATACGATTTCAATAACTTGAATGGTCAAATAAATTACTTGAAAACAATGATTTAAGAAATTAAACTTGAAGTTTTCATCTAGTATTAAAAAAATAGAGCAACAAAGCATAAAATAAATTTCTTTTAAAGTAAAACATTTCTCTTTCAGTTATAAAAAAGTCACTCTAAAACAACAGAATGATAATGATCATCTATTTTTTTGTAGATATTTACTGGTACAATTTTTAAGATTTTTTTTCAGAATTTATTTAATATATTCACATACTTAAGCAGACATGTATAATCTGAATGGAAGGACTGGCTTCTAAATCCCTGTCAAATAGAGAGAAGATAGAGAGAACAAATTGGAAAAGAGTAGAGAGAACAAATTAGAAAAGGACAACACAGGAAACCCTCCACTCCGCACTAATCCGCATTTGCGTTACATGGAAAGGAAAACTTCCCACGGTTAGCCTGACAGCAAGGGGACTCTAACCCATAATCAGACTATGACTGAGGATAGTTCACGTCGACATTGTGGTCAGGGCTAGCCGGATGCGGAATTCATATCTATCGGCCATCTCTGGGATTTGAACCCAGTTCACCTCATTGGAATGCGAACGCTCTATCCCCTGAGCCATCGCGGTTCATTGAGATTGTTAATGAAGACATTAACGCTGTTAGAAGTTCATGATAAATATTTCAAAGATTTTTAAAAGAAAAAATGCATGTGTTGACTACATTCGTCAGAATAAGTATTTTCACTAAACACGATAAGTAAAACTGGGCTTCTGACATAAAACAATATGGATAATAAAATTAAACTTACCGTAATATCAGCATACACTGATGACCATACAGTTGGGTGATCTCCCGATAACACTACTGGTCGACTCATTACGGGAATATATTTCTAGGGAAAGAAATTCAAATTTCATATTAAAAAAAACAGTTTACTTCATGAGTATTTTTCCTTCAATTAAATATTAAGTATAGTAAATCAGATATATATCATAATATATAAATTGACACTACTTCATTCTTCTGCTTCTACGAAAACAAATTATTTAATTCCTAATGAAGTAATAACTAAATTTTGACAGTTTAAAAAAATAACAAAAATATTTATCAAAATTCTGAAAAAAATGTCCCTTTTGACGACCGAGTTCAGTTTGCAGGAAAGAGGGCTTTGGAAAACTAAGTAATTTTTAGAATTCTCTTTTATTTATATTAAATATATATCTTTTATTTATTAAAACTGAGTAATTTTTAGAATTATCTTTTATTTATATTAAATATATATCTTTTACTTATTAAAACTGAGTAATTTTTAGATTTCTCTTTTATTTATAAGCTACCTTTTGTGAAAAAAAATTTTTCTCTATAAAACTTCATAAACTTATAACTCATATTTATTCATCTATAAAAACTTCTTACCTGAACTTGTTCTCTGACTTCAGCAAGGGTTGTAACATGAGTATAATAACCTGTAACAATATATAATTTATTAATTGATGACATTAGATACATTCTCCAATTTATTTATGAAAATTTAATATCAAATAACCAAATTTTCTATCCAAAGAAACTTTAAATATTGTCTTCTGGAAATAGAAAATTATTTACATTAGAGAGACTAGCATATTTTTCTCTAATGCAATTATTGACCTTTATCTATATTTTTATATCTTTTCAAATATCAAGTCAAGTTTTAAAGCATTCTTAACAATAAACTCCTCTCAATTCTTTTGAAACGATTGTTGGCTTTGAAAAGTATTTAACCTGCACTACCTAATTATTAATTCACCAGATTTTAATAAAATTCATGTTATTTCCTGGTTTTAATATTAGCCTGTAACTTTAAGTGTGTGTATTTTTCTTGATTCATTTAAATATACAAATTGGAAGATCGATATTGACTGTATATGTATATTGGTAAATCAATAATTTGTTGGTGCACAATTAAGATATTGCTAACCACGGTAAATTTATATTATCCCCCTCTTTATGTAAAGTAGTTATTCTCGGTTAAAAATCATCCATCAAAAAATTACTCTATTATTTTATTCAGGTTTCCTTTAATCCTCTGAGAAGGGTTCAAAGTTACGTTTGAGTTCAAAGTTCAAACGGAACGTTTATTGCCTCAAATATTATGCATTACCCGGATTCGTAATAGTTTTGCAAAGTAAAAACAAAAAAAACTTTATTAAGATATTTTCTTTATACATACAGTAAGCAATTATTTTAATTTCTGTTCTCCCATTTTACGTTTCTAAGGATTTTTAATTCTTTACGTGTACTTAAATTAGTTACTTTTTTTATTTTGCAAGTGTACTTTTTAATTCTTTTTTTTTTTTACTTAATCTGTAGTTTTTACTCAATTCTTTAGCTTTAAGTACTAGTACTTTTACTCGTTCCTCAATTAACGTAACGTTTCTGTGCATGATATTGCATGTAAACAACAAACACATATTAAACACTTCTTTTGGCTACAATTATATAAATCAGTAATATATATATAACTGT